TTCCTACATTGTGCCCTACATGGTTTCCTACATCGTGCCCTACATCATTTCCTACATTGTGCCCTACATGGTTCCCTACATCGTGCCCTACATAGGGGTCCCCAAACGGGGAGTGACAGGGAGTAACGGGAAGTAACGGGAAGTAACGGGGAGTAACGGGGAGTAGGGAGTGGGTGGATGGCTGGGACACAGCCCAGGACAGTAGAAGTCTTACTGCAGCCTCCTTGGTCTTGAACTCTTTCTCTCGCTGCAGTCGATACTGTTCGATCTCAGCCTGAGCTTCTTCCTTGGCCTGCTTCAGACGACGGTTTTTACCTGCAGAGGGCGACAGACACAGACAGAGTTACTCTAAACAGACTGTCAGAAGCAACCTGAAGATTTCTGTTTTGGGTTTTTCTGTCTTTAAAAATTGTTATTAATTTCTTGAGGTCAGAGATGGGGAGTGCTCTCGATCCCATGCAGTTTGCTTCCAAAAGCAGCAGGACCTGGACACACTCCATCAACAGCTGGAGGACTCCATGTGCTCGTCTTTAACGGATTGATTTTAGTCGGCCGTTTGTTTTTTTGGCCTTTTGGCTTCATTAGATAGGACAGAGAGAGAGACAGGAAGGTGGAGGAGAAGAATGGGGAAGGCCCGGGCCATGAGCAGGACTCGAACCCTGAACACGGGACGCCAGCTCAACCAGGTGTGCTACATGAACGTCACTCTGACATCAGGTGAGTCTCACCTGGACAAGACCAGAGAGTCATACAGGTGTCACTGCTGAACCACCTGCTGTCCAACCAAAGACACCACATCTAAGATCACCTCCTTCTGTTCAGTATTTCAATATTTGGTTCAACGAAAAGAACGTCCATTTAGAACCGGACCTCATCACGTGACTCACTGCAACTGGATTTATGTGAATGTTCTGAACACACACGACAGCTGGACCTGGTGCTCTGCTGACTCTGACTCATCACCTGATCCTGCATCACGTGATGCATCAGTGCATCCCATAATACAACTAAAAACACGGAACCCCTCCGCTGACCAGCACCGGAGCAGAACCATGTCAAGTTCGTCTGTGTGAAGTCAAACCAAACTCCATTCAAAAATTAGAGCACTTTTAGTGTTTGTTACGGATCTGACAAGTTCGGGCCGCAGTGACCCACATGTTCTGGGTTTCTGCTCAGAGGTACCGACACCGACGTTACTCCCGCAGAGGTTCGGGTCACCGAACTGCAGTATTTCTGCGGTTCTTACGGGCCATACGGAGCGGGCGGCGAGCGGGGCAGCGCCGAGTCTCGCCCCCCCAGAGGCCCTGTCGGCGGACAGGACGGCGGGCTGAGAGCCGATGAGCAGAGGGGACGCTGCTGCTGCTGTCCGGACCGGTTCCGGTCGGTTCTGAGCTCAGGAAACTTTGAGCAGCAGCACGATTCTCTAAAACTCACGATTGTTTAACCGAGTTCAGCTGCGGCCCGTCTGCCTGCACACGCCGCGGTGCTACTCGTTTCTGCCGGGTTCTACCGGGTTCTGCTGCTTCCCGCCGCCTCCTGCGGCACGTCGGTTCTGTCTCGGTGTCTGCTACAAACACGAACCGGGAATGTTCGGGGTTTTCCTGCTGTCAGCCGGGTCTGGCTGCGGCGGGCCGCGGAGGACCGCAGGCCGTCGCTGTACTCACGTTTGCGGGCCTCGGCCACCTTCTCGGCCGCCCTCTTCTCGGCCTGCAGCAGCTGCTGGATGCCCTGAGACTGGCTCGCCATGCTGGGTCACAGAACTGCGGACAGCGGCACCGAAACGGACGGAGAAGCGGAGGACCGAACCGGAGGAAGGTCGACGGAGGATCAGAGTTGTTCCGCAGTCAGCTGACCACACGTCACGCTGCGACCGGTCACGTGATTCTGTCACGGGGTGTGNCCAGAACACCTGTCAACAGGTGCAGAAGTCTGACTGAGAGTTACAGGAACACCTGATGGCAGTGATTGGCTCAGAGGGTTGTTCAGCTACATGTTAGTTCACGGCTCCCATCAGGATGGTTGTTGTTTTTTTTGTTTGTTTTTGTTTTTTTAATATTGCTGTTGAACCACAATTCAGAAGCAACGTCATGATGTATAGCTGCTGTAACGAGTAATTTCCTGTAAAAGGATCATTAAAGCACCCTGTGATAGGCTGGTTACCTGTCCAGGTGAACCTGTCTTTGCCCTCAGTCAGCTGGGATAGGCTCCGCCCCCCATTACCCTAGTGAGGATTAAGCGGTGTGTAGATGATAGATGTATGGATGGGATCATTAAAGCAACCTATCCTATGCTGTTTGTGATGTGCAGCTCATGTTCCTGTTATAACTCATGAGCAGCTTTCTGGATGCGACCTGTCTGATAGAGCTCATGTTTGGACTGAAAACAGTCGCTGCATTGAACACAGACGTTGGAACAGTTTATTTGAAGGTAATTCGATACATTCTGATTAGATTTCTCATACATGACATGACACATGCTTTGTCTCTCTACAGCACAGTAACATCGCATAAATCAGTGTTTCCGTCGTCTTCCTGTGGACGGCTGATCAGGGCGATCTCTTCTGAGCCTGCCTTTTGATCTCCACTGCCGTCTTGCTCTGCAGCACTCTGACCTCCATCACTAGCACTGCTGGTGTCCTCTTCATCATTGGTCTTGCTCTGGCTGTTCTCCTCTTCCTCCTGTCTGTTCAGCACACTCCCCCTCAGATCCTCCCCCTCCATACTAGAGCTTTCGTCTGAAGTTTCGCTGTCTTCCTCCTTGGGTTCTTCCTTGTCTTCATCGCTCGTTTCACTGCTACTTGCTTCTCCCTCTCCACCTCTTTCCTGTTCTGCCTCCTCTGTCTGTCCTCCATCCACTTCTTCCACATCGTCCTCCTCTCCTGTCTTCCCTCCAGGCCACAGGCGAACACCCAAACGGTCCTCCAGGTGTCTGATCCCGGACCTCAGTCTGTCTCTCAGACCCAGTACAAGCCTATCGACACAGCTTGCCTCATCTGGCTGCTGATTCTTTATGTGATGGACGCATCCCACAACCAGCATCAACGCCACAATGAGCAGCAGACTCACAACTATCCAGGATCTACTGTTTGTGCTGGAGGGACTGGTTGTTGTTGAGGCGGATTGGTGACGCTGGCTAATTTTAGTGACTTGTGGTGATGTGGCTGATGGCTTATTTGTGGGTGTTGCTGCAGGAGTCGTGTTGCTGACCTCTTTCCCTGCTGGTATATTATTAAATGAAGAATTTTCTCCAGAACCAGATGGTGTATTATTTGGAGCGGTAGAGGAGTGATTGGTGGAGTTGGGTGGTGTTGAACTCGTAGAAGAAGACGATGCAGGAATCAGGAGAATCAGGACGAATAAAGACAGAACGGGGAAGGCTGTGGTCCTCATCATGTCTGTGTGAGTCCGTGAACAGAAACAAAACAGAAACACCAGGTTAGAATGATGGCAGGAAGCGGTACTGACATTGTAGGTCTCCAGCTGAACTGTCCAGTTAAGTCACAACCTACAGCCAATCAGAATCCAGATGTGTTGGTAGCTATAGGATAACAGGACAATTCCATTTAAAATCAACCAAATCTAAAACATGTTTCCACCTGAAGCCCTCAGCATCTGCTGCTCTTCATGTGCAATACCTTCAGCATATTTAATGAAACATCTGATCTTCAGTCTATGAATGATCTCCCTGTAGAGGATAAAAAGGTGTTCTTCACAATCTGACAGCAGAAACAGGCCCACAGAACAATCGGACAGAACCAGAAGTGAACCGCATCAGAGGAGAAACGAGCACCAAAAGGTTGCAAACAGGTTTCAGTGTGATTTGTTCAAACTGTTCAATCAAACACGTGAACATCAGTGTTGTTTCTACAATTCAGCAGCTTTAAAATGTGACTCTTTGTTTTGACACAGAAGGAATGATGACTGCAGGACACACCTGGAAGCAGACTCAACTTCTTCTTCCCATGTACAGCCACTAGTGTTTACCTACATGTTATGGGAACACATTTTGGGCCTGTAACCTTTCCACTCAGCTTTAATGAAACTTAGAGAAACTTAGAGAAACTTGCTTAAACATTATTCATGCAGATGCAGTATTTTTCCATTACAAGCTTTTTTTTAAAAAAAANGTGCTAACCACTGCGCCACCCTGCAGCCCTGTGTGTGTGTATATATACAAGCAAAATAAATAAACCAAAGTGTCAAATAGTGTAAAAATATATACACGAGGTGCAGAGTGACCAGTTGGATTGGCCCATTGGGTCTGCTGTTTGATGTCCAGCAGGCGGACGGCCTGAGGGAAGAAGCTCCTCCTCATCCTCTCTGTGTTTGCCTTCAGGCAGCGGTAACGCCGCCCTGGTGGCAGCAGAGAGAACAGTCTGGGGCTGGGGTGAGTGGCTCACTGAGATCTTCCTGCCTTTAACCTGCATCGTTTGGTGTTGTTGTCCTGCAGGTTGGGGAGGGTGGTTCTGATGGAGCAGAAGATGAGGGCAATGGGCTGGTAGTCGTTAAGACAGCTGTGCACAACATGTCTGCACCAGTTGTTGTTGGTCATGAGACAGACGCCCCCGCCTCCAGACTTGCCCGACTCAGCCGTTCTGTCCATACGATGAACTGTGAAGAACTCCGCTGGTTGAACGGCGTGGTCCGGTACGGTGGGGGTCAGCCATGTCTCCATCAGGCAGAGGATGCTGCAGTCTCTTGTGTCCCTCTGGTACCTGATCCTGGCGCTGAGCTCGTCCAGCTTGTTGTCCAGGGACTGGACGTTGGAGAGCAGGATGCTGGGCAGTGGTGGTCGGTGTGCTCGTAGCCGCAACCTGTTCCTGATGCCGGCTTGTTTCCCCCGGGGCCTGTTAGGCTGCCGGCGTCCTGTGCTGTTGTTGGGGGGCCCGCAGGATCTCGCTGGGCCAGGACGCATCAGCAGAGAAAGTAGTGTAGTGTGTTAACAAGCCAATATTCACCAGTGCGTCTCTGTCGTATCTGATACGATGAGGACACAGCATGGTGAACGCTGTGCTAAAAGTTTAATAAAAAGTTAAATTACAATTTTAAAAAGTTGTAACGGGGCTGGAGCAGAGAAAATCATCTTTCTTCCACACTAGAAGGTACAGATGTTACACAGACTCTTGAGTGTTTCTTAATGTACAAACAGTGATAAGTGACAGGCTGAATGTGTTGATGAGGAGATGCTTCAGTGTTTCCTACTGGGATCAGAGGAGCTTTATTCTGAAGGAGCTGCAGTCTGTCAGAGAGGATGAATGTCCTGACGAACCTGCAATGTTTTATTCTAGTGACTGGGCGACACAGTGGAGCAGTGGTTCAACTATTGCCTCATCAGCCTCTTTAGCCTCTTTAGCCTCTTTAGCCTCTTCTGCCCCTTTAAACTGGCTCCCAGTATGTTCCAGTCCAAAATGGACTTTTATCAGTGAACATTTCCTGGGTTAGTTGCATTGTTTCTGATTTTCTTTTCTCGGTTCCTCTCTAACACATGTTGGTTTTATTCACCATGTTGAGCTTGTTTCTGTTAAACTCTGAAGCTCTTCTGGCTCTAAGCTGGATTTCTAACCGTTTATTTCTGGTCGCAGGTTCTCAGCAGCAGACACCCTGCTTCCTGATTTCACTCCACATCTGCTGTAACATCTGGTTCTGAGCAGGTCTGTTGTGTCCTATATGGTACCTCTTGTGGTGGAACATCCCATAATTGTTCCGATTATTCCCCAGATGTGTGATGGCTGCAATAAAGCCTCTAATAGTTTCTTATAGTTTTATTTGCTGCAGCACCTTCATTCTATCTATCTATC